GACAGGAAATGCTATTGATAGCTTGATTCATTAGAATGGAAAAGGCGCTGAGGAAAACGAAGCAAATAATTCATACAAGATATTAAAGATAATGATCAGGCTCAGAAATGGGCGAGAAAACATTAAACGATTTGAGACAATAAATACCACATGGATATTTGTCTTGCAACATACCAGCAATAATACTTAAAATTCTCTTGCTAAGTAGCCAAAAGAAAAAAATACTTTCAAAAGCAGAGTTGCTTCAAAATATAAAGAGCCTTATACGACAATTATCCATTCTATAAAAAAACCACAAGCGAAAGAAAGTCTCTTTAATCTTGGGTTCGTCTTAAAGAAGAAATGCATGGAAAAGTTAAAATGCACAAAGGAAGATGCCGTTCCTAAAAACTGAAAAAAATGTGCCATGTAGACCATGGGCTAGATTTTATTGTTTGTGAAGGTTAGGGATGAAGACATACAAGAGTGAATATTATCAAAAAATAACGGTGGATCCTTCTTGACCTACGTGCTTCTGTAGCCCCGGTTTAAATCTAGAGCCAATTCTATGGTAGTGTAAGAAATATAAATCATTCTGGTGTCTATAATATTCGAAAGAAACTAAGAACTCTGGTCTGTACGCTTGTGTATTTGTGTTTGCGTTTTTTTCAAAACTAATTAGTCATTTCAAATAATCATAACAGACGTCCCTTTCATTCTGATTTTAAAATTACGGTTAGCAACCATAGATAAACCGATTAGTTTTACTGACTTAATATAAGTATAAAATTAGTATACGAATTATTTCTAAGACGATATCTGTCAATTGGAAGAAAATCTGAGCAATTTATCTGAAAAAGATGGAGGCGTTTAAAAAACTAAAATGATTCAATGTGAGCTAATAGAATCAGGCAAATAAAAATTTGCCATTTTTAACATGTAAAACTACCCAACCACACTTTCACAAAAAATATAAGCTAAGCCAACAGCGAATTATCAAGAGGTTTATTAAAAACGGACTTCGCTGCAAGTAAATAACCAAGCAAGGGAGAACATATTTTGGCTTGCATATGAGTGAATACACCCTTCCGCTATAGGTCAGAAGCAAGGCTAATTTTTATAAGCGATTTACTTTGTGCACTAACATGAATTATCCCTCCGATCTGAGCAAAATCAAACTAATTCAGAGCAGCGAGTATATTCCGTCGTCTTTTTGTGGGATCGATTGACAATTTTT